TTTAGGAAGCCTGAACACCCCAAATATATTTTTTTAATTTTTCATTTTTTTTTGGTCTAACTAAATCCAAAAGGTTGTTAAAGAGTTCCTACAAAGGTTTTGGACAGTGATTTTAAACCTAACGCCAAAACGTTAAACCTTACCATAGCCCCATAACCTAATACCCGGGTATTACTTTTAGGAAGCCTGAACACCCCAAATATTTTTTTTTCATTTTTCTTTTTTTTTTGGTCTAACTAACTCCAAAAGGTTGGAAAAGAGTTCCTACAAAGGTTTTGGACAGTGATTTTAACCCTAACGCCAAAACCCTTAAACCTTTCCCTAGTCCCAAAACCTAATACACGGGTATTACTTTCAGGGAGCCCGAAAACCCCCAATAATATATTTTTTTTTTTCTTATTTTTTGGTCTAACTAACTCCAAAAGGTTGGAAAAGAGTTCCTACAAAGGTTTTGGACAGTGATTTTAACCCTAACGCCAAAAACCTTAAACCTTACCCTATGCCTTGAAATCTAATACCCGGGTATTACCTTCAGGAAGCCTGAACACCCCAAATATTTTTTTCTTCATTTTACATTTTTGTTGGTGTAACCAACTCCAAAAGGTTGGAAAAGAGTTCCTACAAATGTTTTGGACAGTGATTTTAACCCTAATGCCCAAAAACTTAATCCTTACCCTAGCCTCAAAATCTAATACCCGGGTATTACATTCAGGAACCCCGAAAACCCCAAATATTGTTTTTTAATTTTTCATTTTTTTTTGGTCTAACTAACTCCAAAAGGTTGGAAAAGAGTTCCTACAAAGGTTTTGGACAGTGATTTTAACCCTAACGCCAAAAAACTTAAACCTTACCCATAGCCCCATAACCTAATACCCGGGTATTACTTTTAGGAAGCCTGAACACCCCAAATATTTTTTTTTCATTTTTCTTTTTTTTTGGTCTAACCAACTCCAAAAGGTTGGAAAAGAGTTCCTACAAAGGTTTTGGACAGTGATTTTAACCCTAACGCCAAAAAACTTAAACCTTACCCTGGCCTTAAAATCTAATACCCGGGTATTACATTCAGGAAGCCCGAACACCCCAAATATTTTTTTTTTCATTTTACATTTTTTTTGGTGTAACCAACTCCAAAAGGTTGGAAAAGAGTTCCTACAAAGGTTTTGGACAGTGATTTTAACCCTAACGCCAAAAAACTTAAACCTTTCCATAGCCCCATAACCTAATACCCAGGTATTACTTTTAGGAAGCCTGAACACCCCAAATATTTTTTTTTTCATTTTTCTTTTTTTTTTGGTCTAACTAACTCCAAAAGGTTGGAAAAGAGTTCCTACAAAGGTTTTGGACAGTGATTTTAACCCTAACGCCAAAAACCTTAAACCTTACCCTGGCCTTAAAATCTAATACCCGGGTATTACATTCAGGAAGCCCTAACACCCCAAATATTTTTTTTTTTCATTTTTCTTTTTTTTTTTGGTCTAACTAACTCCAAAAGGTTGGAAAAGAGTTCCTACAAAGGTTTTGGACAGTGATTTTAACCCTAACGCCAAAAACCTTAAACCTTACCCTAGCCCCATAACCTAATACCCGGGTATTACTTTTAGGAAGCCTGAACACCCCAAATATTTTTTTTTCATTTTTCTTTTTTTTTTTGGTCTAACTAACTCCAAAGGTTGGAAAAGAGTTCCTACAAAGGTTTTGGACAGTGATTTTAACCCTAACGCCAAAAACCTTAAACCTTTCCCTAGTCCCAAAACCTAATACACGGGTATTACTTTCAGGGAGCCCGAAAACCCCCAATAATATTTTTTTCTTTTTTCATATTTTTTGGTCTAACTAACTCCAAAAGGTTGGAAAAGAGTTCCTACAAAGGTTTTGGACAGTGATTTTAACCCTAACGCCAAAAACCTTAAACCTTACCCTAGCCTTAAATCTAATACCCGGGTATTACTTCAGGAAGCCTGAACACCCCAAATATTTTTTTTTCATTTTTCATTTTTTTTGGTCTAACTAACTCCAAAAGGTTGGAAAAGAGTTCCTACAAAGGTTTTGGACAGTGATTTTAACCCTAACGCCAAAAAACTTAAACCTTACCCATAGCCCCATAACCTAATACCCGGGTATTACTTTTAGGAAGCCTGAACACCCCAAATATTTTTTTTTCATTTTTCTTTTTTTTTTTGGTCTAACCAACTCCAAAAGGTTGGAAAAGTGTTCCTACAAAGGTTTTGGACAGTGATTTTAACCCTAACGCCAAAAAACTTAAACCTTACCCTGGCCTTAAAATCTAATACCAGGGTATTACTTTCAGGAAGCCCGAACACCCCAAATATTTTTTTTTTTTTCATTTTACATTTTTTTTGGTGTAACCAACTCCAAAAGGTTGGAAAAGAGTTCCTACAAAGGTTTTGGACAGTGATTTTAACCCTAACGCCAAAAAACTTAAACCTTACCATAGCCCCAAAACCTAATACCCGGGTATTACTTTCAGGGAGCCCGAAAACCCCCAATAATATTTTTTTCTTTTTTCATATTTTTTTTTGGTCTAACTAACTCCAAAAGGTTGGAAAAGAGTTCCTACAAAGGTTTTGGACAGTGATTTTAACCCTAACGCCAAAAAACTTAAACCTTACCCATAGCCCCATAACCTAATACCCGGGTATTACTTTTAGGAAGCCTGAACACCCCAAATATTTTTTTTTTAATTTTTCTTTTTTTTGGTCTAACCAACTCCAAAAGGTTGGAAAAGAGTTCCTACAAAGGTTTTGGACAGTGATTTTAACCCTAACGCCAAAAAACTTAAACCTTACCCTAGCCTTAAAATCTAATACCCGGGTATTACATTCAGGAAGCCCGAACACCCCAAATATTTTTTTTTCATTTTACATTTTTTTTGGTCTAACTAACTCCAAAAGGTTGGAAAAGAGTTCCTACAAAGGTTTTGGACAGTGATTTTAACCCTAACGCCAAAAACCTTAAACCTTACCATAGCCCCATAACCTAATACCCGGGTATTACTTTTAGGAAGCCTGAACACCCCAAATATTTTTTTTTCATTTTTCTTTTTTTTTGGTCTAACTAACTCCAAAAGGTTGGAAAAGAGTTCCTACAAAGGTTTTGGACAGTGATTTTAACCCTAACGCCAAAAAACTTAAACCTTACCCTAGCCTTAAAATCTAATACCCGGGTATTACTTTCAGGAAGCCCGAAACCCCAAATATTTTTTTTTTATTTTTCATTTTTTTTTGGTCTAACTAACTCCAAAAGGTTGGAAAAGAGTTCCTACAAAGGTTTTGGACAGTGATTTTAACCCTAACGCCAAAAACCTTAAACCTTACCCTAGCCCCCTAACCTAATACCTGGGTATTACTTTTAGGAAGCCTGAACACCCCAAATATTTTTTTTTCATTTTTCTTTTTTTTTTTTGGTCTAACTAACTCCAAAAGGTTGGAAAAGAGTTCCTACAAAGGTTTTGGACAGTGATTTTAACCCTAACGCCAAAAACCTTAAACCTTTCCCCAGTCACAAAACCTAATACCCGGGTATTACTTTCAGGGAGCCCGAAAACCCCCAATAATATTTTTTTCATTTTTCTTTTTTTTTTGGTCTAACTAACTCCAAAAGGTTGGAAAAGAGTTCCTACAAAGGTTTTGGACAGTGATTTTAACCCTAACGCCAAAAACCTTAAACCTTACCCTAGCCTTAAATCTAATACCCGGGTATTACTTCAGGAAGCCTGAACACCCCAAATATTTTTTTTTCATTTTTCATTTTTTTGGTCTAACTAACTCCAAAAGGTTGGAAAAGAGTTCCTACAAAGGTTTTGGACAGTGATTTTAACCCTAACGCCAAAAACCTTAAACCTTACCCTAGCCCCAAAACCTAATACCCGGGTATTACTTTCAGGAGCCCGAAAACCCCCAATAATATTTTTTTCATTTTTCTTTTTTTTTGGTCTAACTAACTCCAAAAGGTTGGAAAAGAGTTCCTACAAAGGTTTTGGACAGTGATTTTAACCCTAACGCCAAAAACCTTAAACCTTACCCTAGCCTTAAAATCTAATACCCAGGTATTACCTTCAGGAAGCCTGAACACCCCAAATATTTTTTTCTTCATTTTACATTTTTGTTGGTGTAACCAACTCCAAAAGGTTGGAAAAGAGTTCCTACAAAGGTTTTGGACAGTGATTTTAACCCTAATGCCAAAAAACTTAAACCTTTCCCTAGCCTTAAAATCTAATACCCAGGTATTACTTTTAGGAAGCCTGAACACCCCAAATATTTTTTTCTTCATTTTACATTTTTGTTGGTGTAACCAACTCCAAAAGGTTGGAAAAGAGTTCCTACAAAGGTTTTGGACAGTGATTTTAACCCTAACGCCAAAAAACTTAAACCTTACCCTAGCCTTAAAATCTAATACCCAGGTATTACTTTTAGGAAGCCTGAACACCCCAAATATTTTTTTTTCATTTTTTTTTTTTTTTGGTCTAACTAACTCCAAAAGGTTGGAAAAGAGTTCCTACAAAGGTTTTGGACAGTGATTTTAACCCTAACGCCAAAAACTTAAACCTTACCCTAGCCCCAAAACCTAATACCCGGGTATTACTTTCAGGAAGCCTGAACACCCCAAATATTTTTTTTTTCATTTTTCATTTTTTTTGGTCTAACTAACTCCAAAAGGTTGGAAAAGAGTTCCTACAAAGGTTTTGGACAGTGATTTTAACCCTAACGCCAAAAACCTTAAACCTTACCATAGCCCCATAACCTAATACCCGGGTATTACTTTTAGGAAGCCTGAACACCCCAAATATTTTTTTTTCATTTTTCTTTTTTTTGGTCTAACTAACTCCAAAAGGTTGGAAAAGAGTTCCTACAAAGGTTTTGGACAGTGATTTTAACCCTAACGCCAAAAAACTTAAACCTTACCATAGCCCCATAACCTAATACCTGGGTATTACTTTTAGGAAGCCTGAACACCCCAAATATTTTTTTTTTCATTTTACATTTTTTTTGGTCTAACTAACTCCAAAAGGTTGGAAAAGAGTTCCTACAAAGGTTTTGGACAGTGATTTTAACCCTAACGCCAAAAACTTAAACCTTACCCTAGCCTTAAAATCTAATACCCGGGTATTACTTTCAGGAAGCCCGAACACCCCAAATATTTTTTTTTCATTTTTTTTTTTTTTGGTCTAACTAACTCCAAAAGGTTGGAAAAGAGTTCCTACAAAGGTTTTGGACAGTGATTTTAACCCTAACGCCAAAAACCTTAAACCTTACCATAGCCCCATAACCTAATACCCGGGTATTACTTTTAGGAAGCCTGAACACCCCAAATATTTTTTTTTCATTTTTCTTTTTTTTTTGGTCTAACTAACTCCAAAAGGTTGGAAAAGAGTTCCTACAAAGGTTTTGGACAGTGATTTTAACCCTAACGCCAAAAACCTTAAACCTTTCCCCAGTCACAAAACCTAATACCCGGGTATTACTTTTAGGAAGCCTGAACACCCCAAATATTTTTTTCTTCATTTTTCTTTTTTTTTTGGTCTAACTAACTCCAAAAGGTTGGAAAAGAGTTCCTACAAAGGTTTTGGACAGTGATTTTAACCCTAACGCCAAAAACCTTAAACCTTTCCCCAGTCACAAAACCTAATACCCGGGTATTACTTTCAGGGAGCCCGAAAACCCCCAATAATATTTTTTTCATTTTTCTTTTTTTTTTGGTCTAACTAACTCCAAAAGGTTGGAAAAGAGTTCCTACAAAGGTTTTGGACAGTGATTTTAACCCTAACGCCAAAAACCTTAAACCTTACCCTAGCCTTAAAATCTAATACCCAGGTATTACCTTCAGGAAGCCTGAACACCCCAAATATTTTTTTTTCATTTTTTTTTTTTTTTTGGTCTAACTAACTCCAAAAGGTTGGAAAAGAGTTCCTACAAAGGTTTTGGACAGTGATTTTAACCCTAACGCCAAAAACCTTAAACCTTACCCTAGCCTTAAAATCTAATACCCAGGTATTACTTTTAGGAAGCCTGAACACCCCAAATATTTTTTTTTCATTTTTTTTTTTTTTGGTCTAACTAACTCCAAAAGGTTGGAAAAGAGTTCCTACAAAGGTTTTGGACAGTGATTTTAACCCTAACGCCAAAAAACTTAAACCTTACCCTAGCCTTAAAATCTAATACCCAGGTATTACTTTTAGGAAGCCTGAACACCCCAAATATTTTTTTTTCATTTTTTTTTTTTTTTGGTCTAACTAACTCCAAAAGGTTGGAAAAGAGTTCCTACAAAGGTTTTGGACAGTGATTTTAACCCTAACGCCAAAAAACTTAAACCTTACCATAGCCCCATAACCTAATACCCGGGTATTACTTTCAGGAAGCCTGAACACCCCAAATATTTTTTTTTCATTTTTCTTTTTTTTGGTCTAACTAACTCCAAAAGGTTGGAAAAGAGTTCCTACAAAGGTTTTGGACAGTGATTTTAACCCTAACGCCAAAAAACTTAAACCTTACCCTAGCCTTAAAATCTAATACCCGGGTATTACTTTCAGGAAGCCCGAACACCCCAAATATTTTTTTTTCATTTTTCTTTTTTTTTGGTCTAACTAACTCCAAAAGGTTGGAAAAGAGTTCCTACAAAGGTTTTGGACAGTGATTTTAACCCTAACGCCAAAAACCTTAAACCTTACCATAGCCCCATAACCTAATACCCGGGTATTACCTTCAGGAAGCCTGAACACCCCAAATATTTTTTTTTCATTTTTCTTTTTTTTTTTTTTGGTCAAACTAACTCCAAAAGGTTGGAAAAGAGTTCCTACAAAGGTTTTGGACAGTGATTTTAACCCTAACGCCAAAAACCTTACACCTTACCCTAGCCTTAAAATATAATACCCGGGTATTACCTTCAGGAAGCCTGAACACCCTAAATATTTTTTTCTTCATTTTACATTTTTGTTGGTGTAACCAACTCCAAAAGGTTGGAAAAGAGTTCCTACAAAGGTTTTGGACAGTGATTTTAACCCTAACGCCAAAAACCTTAAACCTTACCCTAGCCCTAAACTAATACCCGGGTATTACTTCAGGAAGCCTGAACACCCCAAATATTTTTTTTTCATTTTTCTTTTTTTTTTGGTCTAACTAACTCCAAAAGGTTGGAAAAGAGTTCCTACAAAGGTTTTGGACAGTGATTTTAACCCTAACGCCAAAAACCTTAAACCTTACCCTAGCCCCAAAACCTAATACCCGGGTATTACTTTCAGGAAGCCTGAACACCCCAAATATTTTTTTTTCATTTTTCTTTTTTTTTGGTCTAACTAACTCCAAAAGGTTGGAAAAAGAGTTCCTACAAAGGTTTTGGACAGTGATTTTAACCCTAACGCCAAAAACCTTAAACCTTACCCTGGCCTTAAAATCTAATACCCGGGTATTACATTAAGGAAGCCCGGAAAACCCCAAATATTTTTTTTTCATTTTTCATTTTTTTTTGGTCTAACTAACTCCAAAAGGTTGGAAAAGAGTTCCTACAAAGGTTTTGGACAGTGATTTTAACCCTAACGCCAAAAACCTTAAACCTTACCTAGCCCCAAAACCTAATACCCGGGTATTACTTTTAGGAAGCCTGAACACCCCAAATATTTTTTTTTCATTTTTCATTTTTTTTTGGTCTAACTAACTCCAAAAGGTTGGAAAAGAGTTCCTACAAAGGTTTTGGACAGTGATTTTAACCCTAACGCCAAAAACCTTAAACCTTACCATAGCCCCATAACCTAATACCCGGGTATTACTTTTAGGAAGCCTGAACACCCCAAATATTTTTTTTTCATTTTTCTTTTTTTTTTGGTCTAACTAACTCCAAAAGGTTGGAAAAGAGTTCCTACAAAGGTTTTGGACAGTGATTTTAACCCTAATGCCAAAAACCTTAAACCTTACCCTGGCCTTAAAATCTAATACCCGGGTATTACATTCAGGAAGCCCGAACACCCCAAATATTTTTTTTTTCATTTTACATTTTTTTTTTGGTGTAACCAACTCCAAAAGGTTGGAAAAGAGTTCCTACAAAGGTTTTGGACAGTGATTTTAACCCTAACGCCAAAAACCTTAAACCTTACCATAGCCCCATAACCTAATACCCGGGTATTACTTTTAGGAAGCCTGAACACCCCAAATATTTTTTTTTTCATTTTTCTTTTTTTTTGGTCTAACTAACTCCAAAAGGTTGGAAAAGAGTTCCTACAAAGGTTTTGGACAGTGATTTTAACCCTAACGCCAAAAACCTTAAACCTTACCAAAGCCCCAAATCCTAATACCCGGGTATTACCTTCAGGAAGCCTTGAAAACTCTAAATATTTTTTTTTTTTTCATTTTTCTTTTTTTTTTTTTTGGTCTAACTAGCTTCAAAAAATTGGAAAAGAGTTCCTACAAAGGTTTTGGACAGTGATTTTAACCCTAACGCCAAAAACCTTAAACCTTACCATAGCCCCATAACCTAATACCCGGGTATTACTTTTAGGAAGCCTGAACACCCCAAATATTTTTTTTTCATTTTTCTTTTTTTTTTTTTGGTCTAACTAACTCCAAAGGTTGGAAAAGAGTTCCTACAAAGGTTTTGGACAGTGATTTTAACCCTAACGCCAAAAACCTTAAACCTTACCCTAGCCCAAAACCTAATACCCGGGTATTACTTCAGGAAGCCCGAAAACCCCAAATATTTTTTTTTTCATTTTTCATTTTTTTTGGTCTAACTAACTCCAAAAGGTTGGAAAAGAGTTCCTACAAAGGTTTTGGACAGTGATTTTAACCCTAACGCCAAAAACCTTAAACCTTACCCTAGCCCAAACCTAATACCCGGGTATTACTTCAGGAAGCCTGAACACCCCAAATATTTTTTTTTCATTTTCATTTTTTTTGGTGTAACCAACTCCAAAAGGTTGGAAAAGAGTTCCTACAAAGGTTTTGGACAGTGATTTTAACCCTAACGCCAAAAACCTTAAACCTTACCCTAGCCCAAAATCTAATACCCGGGTATTACTTCAGGAAGCCCGAAACCCCAAATATTTTTTTTTCATTTTTTTTTTTTTTGGTCTAACTAACTCCAAAAGGTTGGAAAAGAGTTCCTACAAAGGTTTTGGACAGTGATTTTAACCCTAACGCCAAAAACCTTAAACCTTACCATAGCCCCATAACCTAATACCCGGGTATTACCTTCAGGAAGCCCGAACACCCCAAATATTTTTTTTTTCATTTTCATTTTTTTGGTCTAACTAACTCCAAAAGGTTGGAAAAGAGTTCCTACAAAGGTTTTGGACAGTGATTTTAACCCTAACGCCAAAAACCTTAAACCTTACCCTAGCCTTAAAATCTAATACCCGGGTATTACCTTCAGGAAGCCCGAACACCCCAAATATTTTTTTTTTCATTTTCATTTTTTTTGGTCTAACTAACTCCAAAAGGTTGGAAAAGAGTTCCTACAAAGGTTTTTGACAGTGATTTTGACCCTAACGCCAAAAACCTTAAACCTTTCCCTAGCCACCCAAACCTAATACCCGGGTATTACCTTCAGGAAGCCGAACACCCCAAATATTTTTTTTTCATTTTTCTTTTTTTTTGGTCTAACTAACTCCAAAAGGTTGGAAAAGAGTTCCTACAAAGGTTTTGGACAGTGATTTTAACCCTAACGCCAAAAACCTTAAACCTTACCCTGGCCTTAAAATCTAATACCCGGGTATTACCTTCAGGAAGCCCGAAACCCCAAATATTTTTTTTTCATTTTTCTTTTTTTTGGTCTAACTAACTCCAAAAGGTTGGAAAAGAGTTCCTACAAAGGTTTTGGACAGTGATTTTAACCCTAACGCCAAAAACCTTAAACCTTACACTAGCCCCATAACCTAATACCCAGGTATTACTTTTAGGAAGCCTGAACACCCCAAATATTTTTTTTTTTTTCATTTTTTTTTTTTTTGGTCTAACTAACTCCAAAAGGTTGGAAAAGAGTTCCTACAAAGGTTTTGGACAGTGATTTTAACCCTAACGCCAAAAACCTTAAACCTTACCATAGCCCCATAACCTAATACCCGGGTATTACTTTTAGGAAGCCTGAACACCCCAAATATTTTTTTTTCTTTTTTCTTTTTTTTGGTCTAACTAACTCCAAAAGGTTGGAAAAGAGTTCCTACAAAGGTTTTGGACAGTGATTTTTAACCTAATGCCAAAAACCTTAAACCTTACCATAGCCCCAAAACCTAATACCCGGGTATTACTTTCAGGAAGCCCGAAAACCCCCAATATTTTTTTTTTCTTTTTTCATTTTTGTTGGTGTAACCAACTCCAAAAGGTTGGAATAGAGTTCTTACAAAGGTTTTGGACAGTGATTTTAACCCTAACGCCAAAAACCTAAACCTTACCGTAGCCCCATAATCTAATACCCGGGTATTACTTCAGGAAGCCCGAACACCCCAAATATTTTTTTTTCATTTTTCTTTTTTTTTTGGTCTAACTAACTCCAAAAGGTTGGAAAAGAGTTCCTACAAAGGTTTTGGACAGTGATTTTAACCCTAACGCCAAAAACCTTAAACCTTACCATAGCCCCATAATCTAATATTCGGGTATTACATTCAGGAAGCCCGAACACCCCAAATATTTTTTTTTATTTTTTCATTTTTTTTTTGGTCTAACTAACTCCAAAGGGTTGGAAAAGAGTTCCTACAAAGGTTTTGGACAGTGATTTTAACCCTAACGCCAAAAATCTTAAACCTTACCCTAGCCAATAACCTAATACCCGGGTATTACTCAGGAAGCCCGAACACCCCAAATATTTTTTTTTATTTTTTCATTTTTTTTTTGGTCTAACTAACTCCAAAGGGTTGGAAAAGAGTTCCTACAAAGGTTTTGGACAGTGATTTTAACCCTAACGCCAAAAATCTTAAACCTTACCATAGCCCTATAACTTAATACCCGGGTATAACCTTCAGGAAGCCTGAACACCCCAAATATTTTTTTTTTCATTTTACATTTTTGTTGGTTTAACCAACTCCAAAAGGTTGGAAAAGAGTTCCTACAAAGGTTTTGGACAGTGATTTTAACCCTAACGCCAAAAACCTTAAATCTTGCCATAGCCCAATAACCTAATACCCGGGTAGTACTTTTTGGAAGCCTGAACACCCCAAATATTTTTTTTTCATTTTTCTTTTTTTTTTGGTCTTACTAACTCCAAAATGTTGGAAAAGAGTTCCTACAAAGGTTTTGGACAGTGATTTTAACCCTAACGCCAAAAAACTTAAACCTTACCCTAGCCTTAAAATCTAGTACCCGGGTATTACGTTCAGGAAGCCGGAAAATCCCAAATATTTTTTCTTCATTTTTCTTTTTTTTTTGGTCTAACTAACTCCAAAAGGTTGGAAAAGAGTTCCTACAAAGGTTTTGGACAGTGATTTTAAACCTAACGCCAAAAGCCTTAAACCTTACCATAGCCCCATAACCTAATACCTGGGTATTGCCTTCAGGAATCCCGAACACCCCAAATATTTATTTCTTCATTTTACATTTTTGTTGGTGTAACCAACTCCAAAAGGTTGGAATAGAGTTCCTACAAAGGTTTTGGACAGTGATTTTAACCCTAACACCAAAAACCTTAAACCTTACCCTAGCCCATAACCTAATACCCGGGTATTACCTTCAGGAAGCCCGAAATCCCCCAATATTTTTTTTTTTCATTTTTCATTTTTTATTGGTCTAACTAACTCCAAAAAATTGGAAAAGACTTCCTACAAAGGTTTTGGACAGTGATTTTAACCTTAATGTCAAAAACCTAAAACCTTACCATAGCCCCATAAACTTATACCCCGGTATTACCTTCAGGAAGCCCGAACACCCCAAATATTTTTTTCTTCATTTTACATTTTTGTTGGTGTAACCAACTCCAAAAGGTTGGAAAAGAGTTCCTACAAAGGTTTTGGACAGTGATTTTAACCCTAATGCCAAAAAACTTAAACCTTACCCTAGCCCCAAAACTAATACCCGGGTATTACCTTCAGGAAGCCCGAAAACCCCAAATATTTTTTTTTCATTTTTCATTTTTTTTGGTCTAACTAACTCCAAAAGGTTGGAAAAGAGTTCCTACAAAGGTTTTGGACAGTGATTTTAACCCTAACGCCAAAAACCTTAAACCTTACCATAGCCCCATAAACTAATACCCGGGTATTACATTCAGGAAGCCCGAAAACCCCAAATATTTTTTTTTTCTTTTTTCATTTTTTTTGGTCTAACTAACTCCAAAAGGTTGGAAAAGAGTTCCTACAAAGGTTTTGGACAGTGATTTTAACCCTAACGCCAAAAACCTTAAACCCTACCCTAGCCCATAACCTTATACCCCCGAAAACCCCAAAAATTTTTTCTTTTTTCATTTT